GGTTATGCTAGTTTTTGGGATCTAGATTTTTAAAACTATAAAATGTCCATGGCTGTATAACTAGCAGCAGAATTCACTTGGTCTCAGTGTTAACTTTTTCACCGCAGAATATCAAAACAAATTTAATAGAATGCCAAAACCTCCTTCGCATTCATTCCCAAAGAGAGGCAAAATCATTCAGAAATAACCCAAATGGTAGCGAATACTGAAGCTGCTTATGGCTTTCTCTTTCGAGAATTGCTTAGAAGCAAGCTGATAGATAACCTAGCTCCCTCAGATGTCAAGAACGTTAGCGGCTGCCACGCTCTCGGCGACGATCTGCCTACTTCATGTTTAGGGAACACAATGGCAAAATTTCAGCATCAAAGCCCATACGGTTGCCGAACAAACGAACACACACACACACACACACACACACACGCACACACGTGCACACACAAGATCCTCATGATATGCGTGTTTGTTGACTGTTTCAGCGCTTTAGCGCTGCATTACAAAAAACCATAAAAATACACATTTCTAACAATGCCATTTAGATTCTGGTCTGTTACAGTAACAAACAATCACATGTACTTTTCCAGGATTCTTGTTGGAAGCGGAAAAAGAAAAGCTGGAAGGATACGATTTAAATTTTGATAAATACTGGGTACCCATAAATTGGTCATTTGCACTAGTCATCAAAGCTCGACAGGAGGGACTTATATTTGCTGAAAACTATGCGATCAAAATTACAGATGTTAGCTGACTTTTTTTCTAAATTTCCTTTTAACAGGGTACTTTAATTCTTTCATTATATTCAATTGTATGTTCAACTTTTCAGTTTTTGGATTTTCCAATCCTGTTATTCTTTGATTTTTAAACTAACATATCGCTGAATATTTGAATTACTTTATTTTTTTAAATTTTCAAAGTGTTTAAAATTGAATTTCCTAAAATTTTTCATTTGTTTTCAACTTTTCGTGTTTTTTTAAGTTAACAAATACATAAATAACTAAATTTTTTGCTTCCAAGGGCAGCTGCAAAAAGCAATCTAAAGGCTGTTGTACTTGATAGCACTAACAAATTTATCGTGAGAGTTCTTAAATATATTGATATTATTCGTGATTTTTCCCACTAAACTTTATGCAGCGTCAATAAATTAATTTAGGAAATACGAAATTTCCGGAATAATCTTCAAACGCTCTGCAACTATGATTGGGTTGAGGTACCTCTCGCTTATCCACAGGTGAGCTGCAAATCCACACAGATTGACTTTTGATTACTTACTCAGTAGTTAATACGGCTACTGGTCCACCATTGGTAAGTATGTATATTCATATTCGGTTACGTTTTCTAGCGGTGCACTGGCTACATTCTTCATTTTATGGTTGACCAGTGCTGAAACGCTTCGTAATCAGCCTCCTGACTATCCTCGTGTTCCTTTCATCTCGAAAAAGGTCTGCTGGTTCATAGTTTTCCCGATAGAAACATTTGCCAAGGCTTTAGCTGTTTCAAGATATTATTGTTGGTATAGGAGTATGTGTGTGTGTGTGTGTCTGTGTGTCTGTATATGTCTATGTTGAGCATCGATATTTGGCTGCTACTACTGGCTTCTGATGATCTCCTGAATCTCGGTGTTTATGTAGCTAAGAGAGTTATCAAAAATATTTAGGCAGCTGTTACAGAGCTTTTTTAATATTTCAGGCGGTATTTTTATCAGTGCATACTTATTTTGTGGTATGCTTATTTGGCCGCCAAC